GGATGTTTAGGGACCCTGGGTAGGACACAGAGCAGATCCTGGGGAGGAGATGCCTGAGGGCACCAGAAAGGATGGGATGGGATGGGATGGGATATGATGGGATGGGATGGGATGGGATGGGATGGGATGGGATGGGATGGGATGGGATGGGAGGCCCAAGAGGGTGGGATTTGGGAGCACCATTAAAAGAAACAGGTGGGGGCCCTCCCAGCAATTTATAGTGGACCTCCCTTGTGGGGGCCCTTCCTGGTCAGGTTCCCTGAGCATCTGGGGCTCTGGGCACAGGAAGATTTGCAGTGGAAGTGGAGTGAAGAGAGGGAATAAGAGGAGGGAGAAGCTGCAGTGCCCAGCACTGGAGGTCCAGGAGAGCTGAGGATCCTCTGGACTGGGAAAGGGAGAGGCCAAGGCAAGGAGTTTTGGGATCACAGCCATGATTCCATCCTGCAGCAGAGCTGCTCTCCTGCAGACAGGAGCCATCCCCAGCCCTGAGCCCATCCCCGTGGCATGGGGGTCTCACCTTGGCATCTGCTGAGGGGCTCAGCAGGATGGTGAAGAGCAGGGCCACGCTGAGCACAGCGACCTTCATCTTCCTCTCACCCTGGGCAGCGCTGGGTGAGGCTGCACAGGGACAGGAGCACATTTATCCATCCTGGGACTCCTCCCTGCCCCCTCCCCGAGAGCCCCCAGGGCAAATCCTGGCTGGGCACAGACCCCAGCCCTGGCCACAAGCCCAGCCCTGGCACAGAGTCCATCCCCTCCCCAGCACGGATCCAGCCACCTTCCCCGGCATCCGTCCAGCTTCCTGCATGGGGCACCTGCCCCTGGAAGGGCCCAGGCACCCGGGGGTGCCAAGGGGGGTGGGCAGGGAGCTGAAAGCAGATGGATACTCTGTGGGGACAATCCCCACTCCAACACAATCCATCCAACAACAGCCCCCAAAGCCAGATCCAGCCATGTCCTGGTGCCCTTCCCATCCCACAGCTTTCCCTCTGGGACACCCCAGAGCTGGCCCAGGCCCCAGACCGGCTTGTCTGTCCACAATTGTCCCTGCTCCCACTCCCGCCCCATGAGGAAAGAAGGGGGCTGCCTCTGAACATGATTTGGGAAAATCCCACCTCCTGAGGTGGGAGAACAATGGGGGACATGGGCAGTGGGAACAGTCATGTGACTGGGATCTCCTAGGCACTGGGGAGCACTGGGAATGTTGGGCACCTGGAGACAAGGGTTAGGCTTGGGGAATTGCTGGTCTGTGGCAGTTCCCAGATCCAGCCCACCCCATTTCCCAGCACTGCAGGCCCCAAATGGGTCCAGTCTCCAGCCCCAGAGCAGAGCCCAGAGGGGAAGATCTCCTGCCCTGGCCCTCCCTTTGTCACACCTGGGGCCACCCACATCACCTGGGTCCCCCTAGGGGTTCCAAGGGACCCCATCCCCAACAAGGCTCCCAGTCCAGCTCTGTCCCTGGCTGGGTCTTGGCCACAGCTCCCCACAGGCCCTTGTCCCCACACAGTGTCTCTCCAGGGCCCTGAGCCCACGCCAGCACTGGCCCTGGGCAGGGTGTGGCCATGCAGAGGGACAGGGTGAAGGGGGTGCTTGTCCCCAGGCAGCCACTTGGAGCTAATTGGGCAAACAGAGCTCTCCTGTCAGCAGGAGGGGTGTTTCTCCCCTCCCAGCACCTCTGATAAGCCCTGTTTACCCGTGGCCTGAGGCAGCAGGAAGCCATTCCCCAATCCTGGGGCTTTCCAGCCCTGTCTGATCCAGGCATGAATGGAGGATGAAGGGGGCCTCCAGGCCAGTCACAACAGGGAGCTTTGGCCACTCCTTCCCAGTCAGACCATCCTGAGCTGCAAACACAGGCAAGACATGGGATCCTCCCATCTCTCCAGAAAAAAAGATGGATTCTACCCCTCTGTCATTGGATCTGACAGATGGATGACAGAGCTCATTCTGCACCAGTGCCCACCAGACATTTATATTTGTGTGCAGCTGATATGCCAGCCAATTGATCCCACACATCCCAGGAACCCGCAGTGTCCCTTTCTGAGGCTGGGCTGACCCTGTTCCTGCTCAGGGTGTTGATTTCTGGGGTTTGTTACTGCAAAGTAGAAGTATCTTGAGCAGGGTCAAAAGTGAGACCAGCCCTTCTCCTCTGCCCAACAGACCCTGGAGCAGGAGTTCTCCTGCAGAAATGCTTTTGGCCTTTGGTTTTCCTTCCACTTTCTGGACCTGAGCTTCCAGTCTCCAGGGAGGTTCCCCATCCCACTCCCTCATGTCCAAGCCCCAGTCCCACAGACAGAACCTCGGGGTGATACCTGGGCTGTGCCACCAATGCCTTTCCCTGGAGCAGAAAAACTCAGCTCTTCCTGGTTGAGACAGTGGGGGGTAGGAGAGAGGAAGACATCCTTAAATGCTGAGACACAGTCCCAGGGGAGGCAGTGGGGTTCCCATTCAGTTCCTGCAGCTGAATGGCCAATCCACCTGCCAAGCCTGCCCAGCTCGTTTCCCTCAGGCACATGTGTTCAGTGGTGTGCAATGTCATCCCCCTGACTGGCGTCTCCAAGGCAGCCTGGACCTCTCCTCCATCAATCTTCCTCAGTGATTGTTATAAGTTACTTTTTCTCTGGAATTTTGAAGACGGCAAAAATACCTGCAGGACAAAGAAATATAGCAAGAGATTTTTATTGCAGTGCTGGGTACCCATTTCCAGCACTGGGTGCACCTTTGAATCAAACAAAGAGCACACCGCTGTTTGAAAACCGCGCTTTTTGTACCCTTTGATATCAGTTGTTGAATATTCATTTTACTGTCCGCTTGTTGCCTTAAAAGGTAATTTCTCTGCTTTGGAAGTGGGTGTTATCTTTTGGCTGGTTGTAACATACCTCCCCTGGGCTCATACAGGGGGGTCTTGCATCATCCTCACATTGCAAGGCATGGAGGATCTCTCTGTGTATCCACATGGCACAGAGGAATACATTTTTATTCATAATTTGTTCCCTGTTCCCGGCCGCAAAAGATTCCCTGGTGAGAGGTCCAGATAGGACCCTTCACCTTACAGTCTCCACGGTACGCCTATAAGTTAGTAAATATACAGAAATAGTTCTTTTGTTAGTACCCTCTGTTCATTTTAATTTGCTTGGAATAAAATCAGTTCCTCAATTTTTCACAGTGATGACCCTGTGGACAGTCCCTTAATTCCTGTCAAGACCAATCCAGCACACAGATGATGTCATGGCACGTGTGCATCTGGGCAATAATCCCCCACTGGCACACTCTGCCAGTCTCTAAGAAATGGGGCACAAAGCAGAAAGGGTCCAGAGGAAAATCTTTCTGGGCACTGTTGCCTCCCTGGGCAAGTTCCAGAGCAAACAGTCAAGGCGGTTGCCTGGAATGTTTCCCCAGCTGCCCCACAACAGATCTGTCCTGGAAAGGGAGAAACACAACCTTTAACAAATGCCCTGGATCACCAAACAACAATCACAGTCATTGACAGTTCCCAGGAACCACTTCTCAGTGTATTTTTACTTCTTTGAAGCCATGACAAGCATCTGTATCATCATGGGAACAAGCCCAGGGACACCCGGGATTCCCTGCGGATCAGGCAAACCCTCCTCTGCCTTCAGAACCCAAAACATGTTTTCACCACCAGACCCTTTGATCCCCAGCTTGGGACTCCTAAAAATACTTCTCCTCACACCCTCGTAGGCAGAGCACTAAACCAGAGCATTATTTTCCAGTCCCACGGGCTGCTGGATGGATTTGAAAGTGGATGGAGATTGGGAAGCACAGCTTGAATGACTGTGGCACATGCCAGACAGAGAATGTTTCCAGAGGAAGCATGGCACCCTGTTCTAAGATCAACAGGGGATTGGGAGACACAGGATCCCCTCAAGAAATGGGACACAGGTGTCTGAGGCAACCTGGGAAGCAGGGATTTAAACTAGGAAAGACATGGGAAGGGCAGAGTTCTGGAGATCACCCAGGCAGCAAGACAAGGCTCCAGTGGGGAAACTTCCAGGAAGGTCCAGCAGCCCAGGGAGTGGCCCCAAAGGCCTGACAAGGGGGTGACCTCTTGCAGCCCTCCTGGCAAACAGACCCTCTCCAACACCTCAGTGAAGTGGCTGGAGAGCAAAGCACCAGCTAAGGAAAGAAACACAGATTTAGAGATCCTGTCCAACTGGGAGACCTTGATCTCCCCAGAGAGATGGTGGGGTGGCTCCAGGGTTGGAGTGTTGTCATTAATGGCTCCATGATTTTTAGCAAAGCAGCCCAGGAAGGGGAGTGGTGGAGTCGCCCCTTCTGGAATAGAAAACCAGCCCTGAGGAATCTCTGACCCAGGAAAGCAGTGAAAAGAAATAGCAGAAGAAAGATTTTCCTGTGCTCAAGGGGGATTTGGGTTGAGATCCCCTGGGCAAATTTGGCCTCCACAAGTCCATAGACTCTGTCAGATGCCTTTGGGAGAACTGAGGAAGACACCTCAGGGATGCCATTGCTGATCATCTTTGAAAGGCTCTGTCAGTCAGGAGAGGGGCCTGAGGGCTGGAAGAAGCCAGTGTCATCCTACTCTTCCAAAAGGGTAAGAAGGACCCAGGGAGCTGCAGCCCATCAGCCCCACCTCCATCCCTGGACAGGGGCTGGAATGGCTCATCCTGGAGGCCATCTCTGAGCACGTGGATGACAGGAAGGGGATCAGGAGTGCTCAGCATGGATTTACCCAGGGACAATCTTGCTTGACCCACCTGATTGCCATCTAGGAGGGGACAGCTGGCTGGCTGGCTGAGAGCAGAGCTGTGGGTATTGTGTGCCTGGAGTTCAGCAGGGCTTTGGGCACTGCCCCCACCTCTGGGCTCCAGCCTGTCCTGAGGGCAGCAAGGGAGCCCCAGGTGTGTGGGGTGCCCCAGGACCTGCTCCTGCCCGTCCCCCCAGCTCTGCCAGGCCTGGGGGGAGCCCAGGTGTCCAGGCTATGTTAACCTGCCCCCTTCACAGACTGCCTGGATCAGACAGGGCTGGAAAGCCCCAGGATTGGGGAATGGCTTCCTGCTGCCTCAGGCCACGGGTAAACAGGGCTTATCAGAGGTGCTGGGAGGGGAGAAACACCCCTCCTGCTGACAGGAGAGCTCTGTTTGCCCAATTAGCTCCAAGTGGCTGCCTGGGGACAAGCACCCCCTTCACCCTGTCCCTCTGCATGGCCACACCCTGCCCAGGGCCAGTGCTGGCGTGGGCTCAGGGCCCTGGAGAGACACTGTGTGGGGACAAGGGCCTGTGGGGAGCTGTGGCCAAGACCCAGCCAGGGACAGAGCTGGACTGGGAGCCTTGTTGGGGATGGGGTCCCTTGGAACCCCTAGGGGGACCCAGGTGATGTGGGTGGCCCCAGGTGTGACAAAGGGAGGGCCAGGGCAGGAGATCTTCCCCTCTGGGCTCTGCTCTGGGGCTGGAGATTGGACCCATTTGGGGCCTGCAGTGCTGGGAAATGGGGTGGGCTGGATCTGGGAACTGCCACAGCCCAGCAATTCCCCAAGCCTAACCCTTGTCTCCAGGTGCCCAACATTCCCAGTGCTCCCCAGTGCCTGGAGATCCCAGTCACATGACTGTTCCCACTGCCCATGTCCCCCATTGTTCTCCCACCTCAGGAGGTGGGATTTTCCCAAATCATGTTCAGAGGCAGCCCCCTTCTTTCCTCATGGGGCGGGAGTGGGAGCAGGGACAATTGTGGACAGACAAGCCGGTCTGGGGCCTGGGCCAGCTCTGGGGTGTCCCAGAGGGAAAGCTGTGGGATGGGAAGGGCACCAGGACATGGCTGGATCTGGCTTTGGGGGCTGTTGTTGGATGGATTGTGTTGGAGTGGGGATTGTCCCCACAGGGTATCCATCTGCTTTCAGCTCCCTGCCCACCCCCCTTGGCACCCCCGGGTGCCTGGGCCCTTCCAGGGGCAGGTGCCCCGTGCAGGAAGCTGGACGGATGCCAGGGAAGGTGGCTGGATCCGTGCTGGGGAGGGGATGGACTCTGTGCCAGGGCTGGGCTTGTGGCCAGGGCTGGGGTCTGTGCCCAGCCAGGATTTGCCCTGGGGGCTCTCGGGGAGGGGGCAGGGAGGAGTCCCAGGAGGGATAAATGTGCTCCTGTCCCTGTGCAGCCTCACCCAGCGCTGCCCAGGGTGAGAGGAAGATGAAGGTCGCTGTGCTCAGCGTGGCCCTGCTCTTCACCATCCTGCTGAGCTCCCCAGCAGATGCCAAGGTGAGACCCCCATGCCACGGGGATGGGCTCAGGGCTGGGGATGGCTCCTGTCTGCAGGAGAGCAGCTCTGCTGCAGGATGGAATCGTGGCTGTGATCCCAAAACTCCTTGCTTTGGCCTCTCCCTTTCCCAGTCCAGAGGATCCTCAGCTCTCCTGGACCTCCAGTGCTGGGCACTGCAGCTTCTCCCTCCTCTTATTCCCTCTCTTCACTCCACTTCCACTGCAAATCTTCCTGTGCCCAGAGCCCCAGATGCTCAGAGAACCTGACCAGGAAGGGCCCCCACAAGGGAGGTCCACTATAAATTGCTGGGAGGGTCCCCACCTGTTTCTTTTAATGGTGCTCCCAAATCCCACCCTCTTGGGCCTCCCATCCCATCCTTTCTGGTGCCCTCAGGCATCTCCTCCCCAGGATCTGCTCTGTGTCCTACCCAGGGTCCCTAAACATCCTCCCATTGATCATTCCCACAGCTTTTCTTTCTGTCTTTCCCCTCAATCCTTTGCCTTTCACCCAGACCACTGCAGTGGTACCTCCCAAGACCATTCCTTGACTCACTCGCCACTCCCAGCCATCTCCCAGTCCCTTTGTTTTTGTCCTCATCCCTCAATCCTCCTTCTGTCCCCTCCAAGCCTCTCCCTTGCAGTCCCTGTGTCCCTACACTTGAATTCCTTTCCCCTCCCCTGCATCCCACACAGTGCCCCTTCAACGCCCCCATCCCAGTCCCGTGGGGTCCCCAGTTCCCCCCAGTTCAGTGTCTTTGGGTCCCCTCCTCCTTCCCACCATCCTCCTTGGAGGCCCTGAATTGCCCTGGCTCTCCTTGCCCCCATCCCCACCCTGGTCCCTGCAGGAACAGGGGGGTTGCAGGTGAAACTGGGTGGGGTGGGACTCGGGGCATTTTCCCCCTCAGACCAGAGGTCATCCATGGGCTGGGGAGACTGGGGACACCCCTGTCCCTCCCCTGGCCCCACCAGGGCCAATCCTGAGCAACCCTTTGCTCTCCTTCCCCAGGCACTCTTGGCAGGAACCCAAAATGATCTCCAGGAGGTAAGTGGGCCGGTGGGATTGGAGGGCATCCAGTCTGGGAACTGGGGGACACTTTGGTCCCCCCATCCCTTGCTGGCACGGGGGACATCCCAGTGACCAGCGAGGGCTCCTGGTCTCTCTCCAGATTGATTTAGGGGACGTTGATATCCTGAAGACGGCTCAGGTGGGTACCAGGAGTTCTACCGGACTCAGACCCTCCCTCACATGGCCATGACACTCCCTGCCATCCCAGTCTGCCCCAGCACACCCCAGTGCACCTTCCCCATTGACCCTATTTCTTTCCCCTGGCTCCCAGTACATCCCAGTTCAGCCCAGTGTGTCCCTAACCCTGCCTTTGTCCCCAGCCCCCTGTGGTTGAGAAGGTGGTTGATCTTCTTCGTGGCAAACGCCTGGCTGCATCCCTGGAGAGCTGAGGTGAGCAGCGCCTGCAGGGAGAGGGGGCACAACAAGGCCCCTCTCATGTTGCAGTGGATGATGTGGGTGATGTTTTGGGCTCTGTCTTTCAGGACTGGTGATGACACCCATGCCCTCTCCCTCTCCACTGGCATGAGGAGATGATCATCCCTGAAAGAACCCCCTGATTCCCTCAGAGCCCAGGGCCATTTCCCCTGAATGATCAATAAATCCCTTCAGCAAAGCAACTCTCCTTGATCTTGTGTGTGTGTGTTCCCATCTCCATGTGTGTCCCTGTGTCCCTGTCCCCTCCCCACTCCGGCCCCTGCACATCCAGTGCCTCTCTGGCCCACCCCTGCCATGAGCAGAGCGGCTCAGGGGGCTCCTGGGGGTCCTTGCACTCGAGATCCCCTTCAACCCCTCCACGAGCATCCTGAGCAGTGCAGGTTGTGGCATCATGGAGTGTTCCTCCTGGGGGCTGGGACAGACCAGGGGCACACGGGGCAGCCCCTGGAGCACCTGGACCTTCACTGTGGTCTGGGAGGGATGGAAAAGGGTATAAAAGGAGCCAGAGGGATGTCAAATATTCCCAGATATCAATACAGGCTCGGGGATGAAAGGATCGAGAGCAGCCCTGTGTAGAAGGACATGGGCATACTGGTGGATGAAAAGCAGGATGTGACCCAGCAATGGGAGCTCACAGCCCAGAAAGCCCCCGTGTCCTGGGCTCATCCCACAGCGTGGGTAGCAGGGGAGGGGCGGGTTCTGCCCCTCTGCCCCGCTCAGGTGAGACCCCACCTGCAGCGCTGCCTCCAGCTCTGGGCTCCTCTGGGTGTCTGTAACGCATCCCCCGCAATGGGAATGGCTCTTGGGGATTTCCCTGCCAGCCCTGGCATCTCCTGCAGCTCCATGGGGTTCTCAGCACAGCAAAGGCAGGGACCTCTTGGGGCAGTTCCAGAGGAGGCCCCCAAGGTGATCAGAGGGCTGGAGCACCTCTCTGCTGGAGACAGGCTGAGAGAGTGGGGGCTGTTCAGCCTGGAGAAGAAAAGGCTGTGGGGACACCTCCTTGGGGCCTTCCAGTACTTCAAGGCAGCCTGATTAGAAACATGTAGGCAAAGGGTTCAGTAGGGCCATTCACAATAGGACAGGAGATGAGAAGTTTAAACTAAAAAAGAGGAAGTTTAGACTAGACATAAAGAGGAAATATTTTATAGTGGGAATGCTGAAACACAGGAACAGCTCAGGGGGCTCCTGGGAGTCTCTGCACACAAGATCTCCCTCACACTCTTTAGGTAACTTCCCAGTCTCACCATTCCCAAGACTCTCTGGCAATCACTCTCCCACCAGCCCAGACTGGCACTGCTCACTCTGAGGCCCCTTCCCAGCAGCAGCAGCTCCAGTGACCTGACAGGTCCCCTGTGACTCCCCACACCCCCCACTCTCACAGTCAGACCAGGTTTCCTCACTGCTTCCACCCCAGGTTTCCCATGACAGAGTCTCATGTCTGAAAAACAGTAAAACATTTTATTCCTGGTGCAGTAACACAGGAACACGCTGAGCTGGTGCCTCGAGGAGGGACCCCCAAATAAGGACCCCATGGGATTTTATCTCCTCACAGTCCAAGCACACAAAACACTTGCTCTTCCCGCTGAGTCCTCGGCTCCTGCCGTGTCTCCAAGTGTCCTCTCACTTGGCTGCTCCAGGGTCAGCAGCTCACGGCCTTTTGTCTGAGGCCCCATCCCCCAGAGCTCATCCCACAATTCCAACTGCAGCTGCTCCCCAAGCCACCAGCACCCAAGGGATTCCTCAACTCCTGAGTGTTACTGCAGGTGAGGGAAACAAGAGGTAGCAAATGAAGTTAAGAAGTGACACAGTCCCCAGCTCTGGGAAGTCTGCAATTTTTAACTGGACATCAGCTTCCCTTTGTCACTGTTATGTGCTATCTGTGCATCAATTGAAGGTTTTATGAGGGTGGTTTCCAGAGAAAGATCCAAATGAGCTGATACTTAAGGGAACAAAGAGGCAAAGAGCCTCTGTTCCCTGCACAGTGGAGCTGCTGGTGCAGCCTCAGCAGCCTGAACCAGAGGTGGAAGGAAACAGCTTGCAAATAAAGCTTCAGAAATGAACAACTTCCATGAGTTGCCACCAGAGCAACAGGACATTTGGGATGGCTTCACCGTGGAAAGAAGACTTTCCCTATTTTTATGGGCAAAGCACATGCATTAAAGGAAAAAGCATCCATGACAGGAAAAAAAATACCACTATAGTTCTATTACAGTGTCAAACCCCCAGATAATGGAAGCCATGAGCTTGTCCCATGGTGCTTGTTCAGGGTGTGACAGATGATGTGACGGCAGCTGTGAGTGACATCTTGGTGGCTCTGGCCCACTCCTGCCACTGTGCTGTGTCCAAGCTCCAGAGTCACCTGAAGGCCACGGGGAAGGGCCCTGGTGAGACCGTGCTCCTCACCTTGGGCAAAGTGGCCGCAGCTCTGGCACGGCACTCTCGGCCCCCTGGTTTGGGCAGGGGGCTGTGGTCTCCGCCCCTCTCTGTCCTCCTCATTTGCCTCAAGGGCTTCTCTGTGTCCCCCTTAGGGAAGCAGCTCTCCCCACACCCTCTGGCTCATCCCGCATGGCCCAGCAGCCCCAGCCTTGCCAGGGAACAGCCCCAGTCTCCTGTGTCTCTCCCTACTCCTCTCAGTGCCTGTCTCTGCCTTCTCCACAGCCCTGCGGTGCATCCCCTTCGTGGGAACGCCCCTCTCGCCCTGCCGTGCCCAGTCGGGTGTGGAGGAGCTGGATCCTGTGCGCCGTCTGCAGTGCTCAGTGTCGGCTCCTTGGCTGGGATCCCAGGGACAGGGGCTGGAATGGCCTTGGATGCCTCCCTGTGATCTCAGAGGGAACATGGTGAGTGCCAGCCTGCTGCAAGGTCAGGCTTTGGCGATCCCGAACTGCTGTGAGTGAGCAGAAGGAGCGGGGGAAGCCTGGGAGGTTTCTGTGGGCAGGATGTGGCAGTGCTGCCTGTGAAGGGGCTGCCGAGTCCCTTCCCGAGAAAAGGAACTCCTTGGTCCCTTCCCATGACTTTGTTCCCTGGCTTTGCTTTGGGGTTAAAAGGGCGAGTACGTAGGAGGGGAAGTGCAGGGGTGCAGTGGAAGAGTCTGGAGGGAAACAGCCACTTAGGAGGAAAAGGTGCGATGGGGAGGAGGAGAGAAACAGCGAGGTGTTTGAATACAGATACCTCGGGGCACACATGAGCTTGGATCCAGAGCTGGTCCTGGGCTGAGCCTGGGACTGTCTGCAAAGCTTGGCTTGGGGGAGAGTGCAAGGAACCTTCCTCATTGCAGAGTCTCGAGTGCTGCCTTTTCTCCTGGTACAGTTGTGAAACAATGGTCACAAGGGTCAATATGTATTTCTGCACCCAGGAGCAACATCCCTTCCCTGGCAGCCAGGAAGTGCAGCTCTATGAAGACATTTACCCTGTCTTCCATTAGGTGCTGGTCAATTGGCTGGGCTGTGAGCAGGGAGAGGAGAAAGGTGCTGCTTCCCACGCCTTGGGCTGCAGCTGGGATGGCCACGCCTGTGGGTCCATCTGTGCCTGGTGGGATGTGAGGTGAGGGTGGCTGGGAAGGGCTGCCTGGATGAGAAAGCACCCCAAGCCAGGAGTCTGCCAGCACCATGCCCGAGGCTGGGGGCTCCCTGTAGGGACACAGCCAAGTCCTGGGTCCCTTCTGCAGGGAGGCCTGGGGTGCCAGCACGGGGACAAGCTGCTTTCTCTGCTCTGGAGGGAGCCCTTCTCCTGCAGGGCAGAAGAGAAAGGGAAACCCCCCCAGCAGAGAGGACAGACCAACCTTCAGCCCTCCCAGCAGAGCCTGTGCTTTCCCTCTCCAGGACAAGCAGGATGTCCTCAGGGTGTGACTGCTGTGACAGAGGTCCTTCCCCATGAGGAGCAGCACTGAGAGCAGCCCTGGGAGCAGCTCCTCCGGCTCCAAGACCAGGAGGGCCGAGACACCCCCAGATCACTGTCACAGGTGGGAGTGAAAGGCTTAGACAAAATTTATTACAGAAGCCCTGCTGTTGAGTCACAAGGTGCAAAAAGGAACCCCCCTTGCTTTCTAAACTCCTTCTCGGATGCAATCTTAGCCTCAGATCATGTTAATGGTTTAAATTTGAGGAATTATAGAGGTGTGATTGAACCCATTTTTTCCTGCAGGTTTTAATGATGACAAACTGAGACTATTTATATAAAACGAATCATTTATTAGTACAAATGATCACACAAATGAACAGCTGAGTGAACAGAGGGAAGATCTTAGTCAGAATTATTTACTACACAATATAAAGGCTAAAACTACTACCAGTATGGGGTAAGATAGGATAGTACACTCTGTTGAAGCAATTATCAAAGCAATTATATTCAAGCTAGCAAAAGGGAAATAATCATTAAGTAGAGATTTGATGTAACTCACCCATACCAATGCTTGTGGGGAGATCTCTTGTTCAAGGAGTATCCTTGGGGGTCCCCAGCCCAAGGGAGGAATCTCCACACAAACACCCCAAGAAGGGCTATCTTTGAAGAACCTGACTGTCGGAAAGTGGACTGGACTTTTATAGTATAAAGTGATTGACTGCTAGTCACAAATTTACAGGCCAGCCACCAGCTGATCTGCCACATCCAACTTCAAAGAGCAGGATGAGTGTTTGGAGTTTGGTGAACTAGGCTGGTTTTAGCATAATTCAACTCCCAAACCCAGCACCATGGCACCACCAGTAACTCCTCACAGTTTCCATGAGAGCTTGCACTGTGTGCACTTTCTGATGGGATTCTAGGCCTTATCGGGGTAGGCCCTCCTGCCACAGCCCACCCCTGGACTACAGTCAGTCATCTTTACCTCATGAAGTGGTAGTGCAGGTACCTCTTGCCTCCATGCTATAAAAGTATCCACTGCATAGGTGAACCTTATTGCTAAGTATGTTGAGATACATCAATCTCTCTAAGTTTTACTGTCTTACTTTATCTCATGGAGTTTAAAAGGGGCCTAGATCCCATTGCCATTGCTGGGATGGCACATGTGTAAGCAGCTGTTTCCTTTCCCACAGTCTGCCACAGTGGGGACTTTTGTTCAGATGCATGAATGAGGAGGTTACCCAGATCTGCCTCACCATCTGCCTGGAATGAGTGCCTTCCTCTTGCAAATTCCTCCCTTCTGTGCTTATCTCAGGTTCTCACAGTCTGCACAGAGGGGATTTTTCAT